TATTAGATCTCAATGAAAAATACCCCATTGGTTACAGATGCCTATTGTGTCCTACATAATATCTGTGAGTGTAGCCAGACAGGAACCCCCCTTGTAACATCCATTTTTGCTTGCCTGGAGAATGCAGGGCACACAGAGCAGAAGGCCCAGGATGTGTGACCGTGAATGGCTAAAGGGATTTTGGCAATGTTCACTCATTCTATTAGATCTCAATGAAAAATACCCCATTGGTTACAGATGCCTATTGTGTCCTACATAATATCTGTGAGTGTAGCCAGACAGGAACCCCCCTTGTAACATCCATTTTTGCTTGCCTGGAGAATGCAGGGCACACAGAGCAGAAGGCCCAGGATGTGTGACCGTGAATGGCTGTAAACAGAGATACGCCAATTGCTGACCAAGAGGCTGCCAAGGAGTGCCCTTGACTTAACCCATATTGATACGAACACACAGCCGTCCGCGGGAGGAGGAATCTCTCGCCCAGTAAAAAAATGTCTAGTACTCACAATTTAGTTCTCTCTCTTGCAAGTGTAAATTAACTTGAAACTTGCTTGTAAAAACTGGCATCACAAAACAGACCAGTACAATTTAGCCTCTTAGATAAGAAAGAGGATACGGGCCCCCGGGCGTATAAAGATGGGTCCAGCAGCACATTTACTCTGAGTGTCAATCTACCATCTATCTGCTGGTCGGGTTAGGTGTTTGATCTCCCGAGGTTCCAGAGGGGACGCCCACCTCGTATTCGTCTTTCCTAGGAATTGAGAGACCGGCCCTGGCCTGACATGCTAGAGTCGAGAGGCACAGAAAGGGGTAAAAATTGTACCTGGATGTGGTCCTTTGTTTAAGTATATATATACATAGTGTTAGAGCTCTTTAAAGATTAAGCTGCCACTTGGTACCATTATTTCTATTTTCTATCTTTATTTTCTTTGTAATTATTTTTAAAATCTGTATTTGCTAACAGTTAAGAAAGAGAGCAATAGCCATTGTAACCACATGCTTTTATAAGTCTTTTTAATAAACCTGTAACTGTTTAAGTTTTTAACCTGACTCCTTCAGTTGCTGTAACAGAACCAAGCACAATTTAAAAGAACTTCAGCCGGTCATAAAGGGACAGACATAGGAAGAGCTTGAGCGTTTGGATCTGTGTCACTCCCAGGTGACAGGTCCGTTGGCTGCCCGCTCCGAAGGAACCCTGTGTTCTAGCAGCTAAAATCTAAGGTGTAATAAGCTCTTCCTATAAAAAGGGGCATCTGTTGGCCTGCTGGCTACCCTCTGCGACGGGACCCCAGTCCTAGCAGTAAAGACACGGACGTTAAACCTTTTCTCGGAAACACACACACAAACACTGCCCTGACCATCGGCTGACAGTGAGGCAAAAGAGTTGGTGTCATCAAGGTGGAAGTAGAAGCAGGTACCACTTGATTTGAATAGCCAGACACAAGCATAATTACAAGAGCTTATTGTGGAGCTATATGACTCCAAATATTACTGTGTTTTCCTAAAGCTATGTAGTGGGTGGTTCTTGCTATGCATTTACAAGTAGTGTTTGCTCTGAGTACCACTATCCATTCCATAGTCTGCCAACTGCCCTTGCCCATGGTGGGTTTGCCAACTGTGACTGTTCCTTCTCAGTGCAGGAACTCCATCAAGGCAGATGAAATTCTTAGAGTTCCAGGATTTGATATATGGAGCTATGATTGAAAGTGTGTCCTCAGCAAAATCTTCCTCTCTGAACATATACTTGTGTGGTACTTTAGTTAGTTCACATGTGGTGGACAACACAGGAATGACTACTTGTATCAATAATGGAGGTCACCTAGATAGTCCTCAGATGGTGAAGCTCATGAAGTGGTCTCAAGTTCAAGTCTAGTTCATTTGCTATTTTGTAATGGGTATGTGAAATTCTGCAACCCTATAAGGAAATTCAGATTTTTTTTTTTAAGTAAGCAGTTTCTACAAGCAACAATTTTGGATATAGCTATCCATTTTGGAAATCCCAAATTCCCTCCCAGAGCTTGCACCTCTCACCCCTTCCCAGTGGTTTTTGTGTGTGATGGTATGCCCTGGGATGGTGTACCATCCCGGCGTGTTTTTTTTTCCTTCTCAACAACTCCCCCCACTGCTCCTCGGTACGTGGCTCTTCACACTCTATCCATTGCTATTTTGGCTCTTCGTCTCTAACAGGTTGGCCACCCCTGACCTAAGGGATCTCTATCAAGTTTTCTTAAAACTACAATGGGAAAGTGAAAAACAGATTGACGGAGCCAAATGGATACCCAGAAGTCACCTACTACTGGACAGACATAACAAACAAAGCAACAGAATGCCACAGGCCATTATCTACAGTCCTAGCTAAAACCTTTCCAACACATCATTAAGGATCTACAACCTAGCCTAGATGATGATCCCTTGCTGTCATAGACCTTGGGAGAGAGGACAGTCCTGCTTCTCCAATACAGACAGCCCCTCAACCTGAAACAAATACTCACCAACTACACATCACAGAAACACTAACACAGCAACCAATCCCTGCAACAAACCCAGTTGCCAACTCTATCCACAGTTCTACCTTATTGACACCATTATAGAACCTAATCACATCAACTATACCATAATTCACCTGCAAATCTACTAATGTGATATAATGTCAGCAATGCCCCTTTGTTGCGTACATTGCCCAATCTGGATTATCTCTATATAAAAGAATAAATGGACACAAATCAGACATCAAGAATGGTAACATTCAAAAACCACTAGGAAAGCACTTCAAGCTCACTGTACACTCAGTAACAGACTTGAAAGTTGCCATATGTCAGAAAAAAAACCCTTCAGAAATAGACTGTAGATTTAAAGTGCAAAGTTGAAATTCATATGCAAAATTGACACTATCAGACTGGGTCTGTAGGGACACTGGGAGTGGCTAGCTCACTACACAAAGTAATTTCCCCCCTTTGGGTATTCTCACCTTCTTTTCAACTGTTGGGAAAGGGCCACATTCACCCTGATTGAATTGGCCTCATTAGCACTGGTCCCCCCCACAGTAAGATAACACTCTCTTCTTTGCAAGTGTAGATATATTCCTGGCCAACTGAAAATTCTACTTCATGCATTTGAAAAAGTTGACTCTAGCCCACAAAAGCTTATGTCCAAATAAATCTGTTATTTTTAAGGGGCACAAACAGTCATATTAAAAACTGTTTTCATTTTTGTTCTTTCTGTGCATTGACTTGGAAACTGGCAGAACAGTTAAGAATCACAGTAGCTAAAATGTAGTTCATGTTTTTGGTGACCTTGTAGGTACAGAAAGTCAGAGAGAAATGGCATAGAGTGGGAAAGCTGCATTGTTAAAAGCTTTTCTTGTCAGTGCATTTCAATGCTCAAAACTAATACTCGATTTTTTTCTGGCTCTAGGACTCTGAGTAGAGCAAAAGAGAAACAGACAATAAAGGTAAATGATTCAAAACCGCTTAGCAATGTACACTGTGGTACATTGATAAATAAATATTCACCATGTACTAGGTTAAAACCAACATATTTATTTCATATATGGCCACAATTCAATCTAGACTCATGTCTCCAGACTTGAAAGTTTATCACACTGCAATGTGATTCCCACATACAAACTTTTATTCCTGAATTAAAACACTGATGGCCAATCCCCACTCCATAGTACCCAAATTCTGCCAAACTACACAAAGTGAAGGAAGAAGATGCTTTTGGCACAAAAAAAAGGCTCACCCATAGTCATAAAAACTCAAGGAAGCAGCCTCTTGATAAAGGAATCTAAAATGCCCTCTCAGAAACATATCTAGACACCACGCCTACCGAACTGTCAGGCTGCCGACATTCCATACTGCCATCCAACAAGGGCTGTCCACCATTTAGACACAAACCCATAGAAAGTCCCACCTCAAAGTGGCTGATGGGCAGCAGCCTCATGGCACCTGATTGCCTCCCAACTCTACATCAGTCCAAGAGGCATTCCATGAAGTGTTCAGGCAATGGTATTTATCTTCTGAAGCTGCCATGACTATTTTTGCTCTCTGGCTCTGAACTCCACTTGGATTGGACTCTGTCTCCTGAACCCAAGTCTGAAACCTGCCTTGGACACCAACCTTTGATATCAACCCTGGTCTGAAACCTGATTATGAACTCCTCCACTGCTTCTAGACTCAAATGTGCCACTTCTCCAACCTGAGTCCCCACTAGCCTTGTTGGAATCTTGACAATATAATTACAACAGATAAATCATGACTAATAGAAAAATAAATTATAAATAGCAGCTCTTATTAAGAAGCTCTCTTATAATCCACTTCATCAGTGGATCTTTAAGCACTTTAGAAATTGGAATATCATTATTGTCATTTTACAGATGGGAAAAGAAAAGCACAGAGAAGCAAGGTACAGTTAAATGCTCAAGTTCACACAGCCAGATACTGGCAGCAAAAGGACTGAATATTTTAAAAGAAGCATGAAATAAGCTAATTTCTTTCTAAAGTTGTGCCTTTATTCAGCAGAAATTGAAATGTAAGTAGTAGTGTGCAGCATCAGCACTTAATGCATAAGAATGGTTAATAAAATTACAATTTATGGGACTGTAAACGGAGATGTGATGGTGTCATTTTTTCAAAAAATCCCATTAAGTATTTATTCCAGCCTTTTGGGGCTCATAAAGAATTAAATGTTTACTCATTTATGAAGTATTCTCAAATCTGTTCCTGTAAGTAATAAATCTATGAGTACACACATAACTATAATTGCATGCAATTGCAAAGCAAATTACAATAGTTATACACTGTACATTTTAAATGGGAACAAGTTACTGCTATAAAAAGGCAACAGCTTTACATAAATTGGAAGTGAGGGATAGGACAAACTACAAAGAAACAAAGATATTGCTACTGTGCTCCTCCATCCTGTTGGAACACCTCTAGAAGTTACTGAGGTATTGCATATTAGAGAAAATAATGTGATCAACTGCAAAACTTTACTCTTACCTTTACTCTCACTGTCACAGTTGCAAGTCCTGGAGGCATAGTTCCACCACTATCAAAAGCTTCCACTAGAAAGGTAAAGGTTGCCTCAGTACCAGAGAATGACTCATAATCCAAGGATTTTAAAAGTGATAATTCTCCTGTAAACTTGTTCAGTGAAAAAAACTGCCGTGCTTCCTGTGTTCGTATCCGATAGGTAACATTTGAACCAATGTCAACATCCTTTGCCTGCAGCAAAAGAGAATTTATAATAAACTACTGAATCACAAAGAAAAACACCAGCTCACAAATTTTACAGGGCATACATTTGATTTATTTGACACTATTAAGAACATTTGATTTCTTCAGTGTAATTCATATTTTTCATAATTTTAATTGTTAATTTTGTTTTAAGAAGATATATTTCCAGCAGGCTTGAGGAAAACGACTTTTTATTATAAGCATTTCTGCTGATCAACAAATGCTGCTTTTAAGATATGTTGTACTTGTCTAATTAAGAGATTTAGATTAAAACTTTGGAAGCACATTTGAACTCTTTGGAGCTAAAGTAAACCGCCAATGTCAATATAATGAGCCTCACTGGAAAATACAAATGTCCTTTAGAAATGTAACTGACATTTTAAAAAAATTACACATTGTAAAATATTTCAATAGTGCTCCTATTTTGATTTTCCATCACTGCTTGCATTAATTTCCAGAAATGAAAGTTCTATACTACTAATACCTTTCACTTGCCTGTCCTATGCCAGATATAACACTTTCGTAAAGGGAAATAAATGATAAGGAGGTTTGAGTATCATTTCTTCCCCTCCCCAATATTTAATCTCTTAGGGTATGACGCGGCACGGGGTTCGAACAAGCCGGCATTTAAAAATGGCGCCGGCTGGCTTATGCAAATAAAGCCCGGGAAATTCAAATCCCGGGCTTCATTTGCATGTTCGGTATGCATACATTACCCCGCTAGTTCGAACTAGCGGGGTAGTGTAGACATACCCTGATTTTGGTTTTATTGGCAACCAGTTAAAGGACAACAGCCTCATGCAATAAGATTAACAAAACATTTTCTTTGATCCGTAGTGCTTTACCTCTATTCGCAGGAAGACTGTGCCAGGGGGTAGATTTTCTGGAACAGAAACAGTGTAGGAGGCATTGGTGAACATAGGGCTGTTGTCATCAATATCCAGAACCTTGACTGCCAGAGTTAATGTTGAACGGCGGGGGTCCACAGCTCCATCTGTTGCTTCTACAGTAAGTTCATAGTAGTCCCTTGTTTCTCTGTTCAGTTTAACGGCTGTGTAAATGCTACCATTTGATGTGATGCGGAAAACATTGTTGAAGTTTACCAAACTGTAATGAACCTGGCCATTTACTGCAGCATCTGGGTCCATAGCCTAAAAGAAAAGAAAAAAAGGCAATTAAAAAAATACATTTGAAAGGAATGTGGATTAGATTCTGACATGACCAATGTGCCTTTTATTCTACTTTTTAACATAAAACAATCCAAAGGACATGAATGCTGCTTCAAGTTTCCACTAACAGCAGACATAACAAATATATTGTTATTTTCCTTATAGTATTAATTTAGTTTATGAAAACTGTAGGAATAAGTATGAAAGGTATTAGCTTGGAAAAGGGGGAAGCTTAGGTTTGACCATGTATATTACTTCAAAGCTTGTGATTGCTAATTAACTTTTTTCATTCTGTCTGCAGAATTCTTAATTCTTTTGAACAACACATGTGACAGACTTGTTTCATTGGTTACAATGAGTTATTTGCAATCAACACTTTTAATATATTACATAGAGAGCTAAATTTCACATCTCTTGTCCTCTTTATACTACTTCCGAGCAGAAATGTTACTGTGGACAAATAATTATTTTTGAGTACTATCCCTTACGTGCAGCTTTGCAAAATCATGGCATTTTCCATACTTGGCAAAAAAAATTATTAATTTATTATAGCAGACCATAATACAATATAATTAAAAACAGAAAATACTTTTTTAAAGGCGTTTAAGATGTAGCATGAATCGAGAGAGAGAGGATACTGTTATGTTCCCATGATTTCTGACTGACATAATAACTCTTATAGTTATGCTGACCATATGTCCCCCATTAAGTAGTGAAATGTCTTGGAAAGCTCTGCTGGACATTTCACTACCTGATGGGGTCACCGGCTTGCAGGAAGAAGTGCCATGCCATCCCATTGCTCTTCGCATAGCGCAGCAGCCTCCTCTCCCTTCCCCCTAGCAGGGCATGTAAGGCAGCCGGGCCAGCTTCTGGTGGTGTGCGGCTCCTCCCTCTCCCCATCGCCTCCCTTCCCCCATGTTCCAGGTGGGGTAACCTCACCAGAATGGGCCTTGAGTGGCTGCCTCTTGACTCCAGCTGGAGCCGGGGAGGCCCGCAGAGACCTGGACTGTGGTACTAAAAATAGCATCATAGGTGGCCTCTGCTCCAATCCTGGCACAAGGTCCCAACCTGGGAGCAACTGGGGCTGGGATCGCAGAAAAAAATACTGCTATAGCCTGGCTCCAGCTCCGCAAACTGCTTTCTATGTGGAAGGCAGAAGGTGAGGGAAGTGGCAGGGGGAGAACTAAGGGGGAGATGGGGATGAATAGAGGAAGGGGCTTGTGCTGGGGGGGGGGCAGAACAGGAGAAGAAAGGGGCAAACACCAAGAGGCAGGCTGAAGGAGAGACAAATGCTAGGGAGCCAACAGGAGACAATGAGGAAAAGGGCAGGAATGGGGACAGGAGCGAAGGTGTCAGTGGGGTGGGAGAAGGGAGAGGGCAGAGAGATGCTGGAAGAGGGGAGGTACAATGGGGGCAAGAGGGAGGAAGAGGAGAGGAAAGGAGTGGGTGCCAGGAGAAGAGAGGTTGAAAGGAGGGGTGAGCATGAGGAAGGCAGGGGATGGAGCAAGTCATGTGTGAGGGCACAGAGGGGCGTGAGGAGAACTGAGGCAAAAGATGGTGAGGGGGTGGGCACCAGGGAGAAAGAGGACAAGGAGGGCATGGGCAGTGAGGGAAGAGGAAGGTGCCAGGAAGCTGCAGGGGAAGGGAAGGTGCAGATGCCAGCGAATTGTGGAGGTGAAGCAGAAGGACAGACACTGGAGGGGAGGGACAGGCACCAGAGGAGAGAGGAGAGAGGCAGGGCAAGTGGGTAGAGGGAGGTGTTAGGTGAGGGGGTGGGGAGGAGTAGCTACAGATCAGAGTGGGGCTTGAGGAAGAGTGGCTAATCAGGGACAGGGGCATGGCTTAACGTGTCCCTAATTTTGGTTCACCACCATACTTACAGGCAACAATCCAAGGGCATACTGAGAGCTCTAGAGTACTATACCAAGCACTGGGCCAATGAAAAAGAGGCCTCTGGATCAGAGCCTGTGAGGTTTCCCTGCTTCAGCAATGTCCAATAGCACATTCAGAGTCTTATAAGATTCTGAATATGAATAAAAGTCTTCAGTAACCCATTTCTGGTCCTACTAAAAATCAACAGGAGAATTCAAATCAAATTGCAAGTGCTACAGAATCCAGGTTGCATATAAGAAAAGAATATGGTTGTGTTCAGTGAGGTAACTTACTTGTTTTAATTTATTTTTACAATTCTTATTATTTTAGTAATTTTAAACACTCTCTCCTTGAAGTATCATTTCATTTTTATAGTTTATTTACTGTTCTTTACACTTTACTGGCATTTACATGACCAAGACTGCAACCATGTCATGAAAGGTTTATTCTATATTTGCTAACAGAACTACTTGAATGTTTTCATACATTTCAATGGCATCACCTCACAAGTATTTAAACTTCTTTCAGGCAACTTAAAATGGGAGTTAGGATGATTCAGAACATAAAACCCACAGGCTGCATCTAGTCTGGCATGATTTTGCATTGGAGGCTCATATAACTGCACATCCACTAATGTGATCTATGCCATCAAGTACCAGCAATGCCCCTCTGCCATGTATATTGGCCAAACTGAACGGTCTCTGCAACAAAGGATTAATGGACACAAATCAGAAATTCAAAAAGGTAACACAGAAACCTATTGGGGAACATTTTAACTTGCCCCGACACTCATTAAGGGATATCAAAGTTGACGTATCATTGCAAGTCAATTTAAAAAAAAAACAGCTTGAAAGGAAGGCTGCAGAATTTAATTTCATTTACCAGTTTGATATCAGCAACGGAGGTCTAAACAAAGACCTTGTGTGGATGGCCTGCTACATTTCACATCCTAATGACATTAGCAACGAAGCACATCGTACTTAAGAGCAGTTAATACCCACTCTATCAGCTTCATTTAGCATAGACACCTTAATTGACATTTCTCCCCTTTTTTCCCTTCTTTCCTCCCATCCCCTCTCTTTCACCCCTTAACTCCATTCATCTGAAGAAGTGGGTTGTGCCCATGAAAGCTCATGATACCATCTACATTTTTTGTTAGTCTGGAAGGCGCTGCAGGAGTGTTACAGACTAACACTGCTATGCCTCTGAAACTTTTCCTATATATGTAGTTTGGTTTTGTGAAGAAAGATCTCAGTGGATGAGACACTGGAGAATTAAACAAAGAAAGTGATGACATGAGCAGTTGATGAGAAAACTATAATTTTGAAAAGCAAAATAAATTAAAAAATCTGTTTTGGGATAAGCAAACACATAGGAAATAAGGAGCATGGTCCTGGGATTTCAGCACAGATAGTAGCAGCAAGCTGCATTTCCACAGTCTTAATCCATGTCAGATGTGTGCCAGGCTGAGGCATGTGCTCAAATGGCTTTAGTTTAAGCCAGAGCCACATGTTAGCAATTAAACAGCTGCTAACTAGATTACAATCAGTCCTCATTAAGATAACAATAGTAATCTGGAACAAAATTTATCACTTTAGAAAATTAAACTGCTAAACTAAACTGTGTAGAAGTTTATTTCTCTCTCTAATAAGGAAATACATTTTTCAAAGGCTAATGTATTTTAATGGAGTTGTTCAGTTTAAATGACTCCCCTCCCCAGAATCTTAAGATCTGGACCCTGTAAATCAGCTTCTATAAATTGCCATAGTTTTAATTTACATCACCTGAGGATCTGGACCTACAGACTTTAAGTATGTATGGGTGGGTGAGGCTAGCAATAAAAACGACAACATGAGGATAATGTGCTAGGGTTCACAGGTCTTTTGGCATTTCCTTGATGTCTGCCACTCCTTGACACAATGGATGAGAGTGGACACAGTATGTTTGTCTGTCTTGTAACACTGGCTTGATGTCTTCTAGCTATGCAGCTTGGATCCAGAACTCTGACCCCAACAGCCTGCACGTGAGCAGCCCACAAGCCTCATCCTGGTTTTGCTCAGCCTGGTTATTTCATGCATGTTTAATGAGCACTTTTCCAGCCCTGAATTTGCCCCCAAATCATCCTATTGCTAGGACCAAGCCCTTTATAGAGATAGTAAAGCATTTCAACCTGTTAGATTTCTAGAAGTACATACTTTACTGAACTTTCTCAGAACAGTGACTTATAATGAAAGCAGAGAAAGTTTATTAAAAGAGCATAGATTAAGTGATACCAAGAAAAAGAAAAAGACGTAGATTGTTACAAAAGTAAAGTGCAAATATTAATCTAAAAGCCTATAACCTAATTATTTTTTTTCACCCATAGTCTCCTTTCCAGCTTTTATTGACCAGTCTGGCTAGGACTTGGCACAGAGATCAAATTACTTGGTTTCTTTTGATACCTAAGGTGAAGGATAAATATGGAGTCTTTCTGTCTCAGTATGTATACCCCAAGGAGTTGCTTTAGTTATATACATGGCTGGTGAGTATCCTAGACAGATAGAGGCTGTGCTTCACCAAACAGTGTACTGTGGCCCTGCCCACAGGCAAGTGTGCCTCCCGTAGGGGCTCCAGGGCTATGTCTACACTGGTGCAATCTTGTGCCAGAGATATGCAAATGAGGCTAAGTGTGGAATATCACTGAGCCTCATTTGCATACCTAATGAGCCACCATTTTTGCGGAAGAGGCTCTTGCGCTAGATGTAGCTGTCTACGCTGCCCCTTCTTGCGCAAGAAAAACCCTCTTGCGCAATGCTGTTATTCCTGAAAATAATCTGTAGTGGCATTACGCAATAGGGTTTTTCTTGCGCAAGAAGGGGGAGTGTAGACAGCTCCTTCTAGAGCAAGAGCCTCTTGTGCAAAAATGGTGGCTCATTAGGTATGCAAATGAGGCTCGGCGATATTCCACGCTTAGTCTCATTTGCATATCTCTGGCGCAAGATCGTGCCAGTGTATACATAGCCCAGGTGTCTAGTGCTGATCCACATTGCTTGCCCAGTGCTCTAGGGCTGGCTGCCAGAGTACCAGGACTGGGAGCCACTCAAAGCCCTGGGCTCAGTGACCATGCTGCT